AGGGAGAAGCAGGCTCCCCACTGAGCAGGGAGCCCGATGCGGGACTCGATCCAGGGACTCCAGGATCATGACCTGAGCCGAAGGCAGCCGCTTAACCGACTGAGCCACCCAGGCACCCCCAACCCAGCTTTTTAACAGAGCGGTCTGCAAGCACTTCATAAGAGGTCCATGTAAATATGTCTGGCGCTGCGGGCCACGTGGCCTTTGGTTCCACAATTCCACATCTAGAAAGCAGCCATTGGCAAAACATAAACTAATGGGCGCAGCTGGGTGCCAATAAAGCTTTATGGACAAAAACCGGCAGTGGGCCGGATTCGGCAGAGGGTCACCTTCGCAAAAGGCAACTCTGATGGTGTCACACCCAGCCCTTGCCAGTCCCTTGGGACATGCTTCCTGCCTTTCACACACCTTCCTGGTGTGTCTCCAGATGCTCCCACTCTCATGTCCAACACCCAGTCATCCTTCCAATATCAGCTGAAAGTCCCCTCTGTAGAGACGGGGCCCCTGACACCCCAAGACCACACAGCCCCCCTCACCTGCTTCCTAGCACCCGCACCTTTTCATGCTCACTACACAGTGCTGGGGCTGGGGGGTCCCGTCCACCTCGCCTCACACAACAGGAGGACGGGGTCCACCTCACCCCCATGGTACCCCCAGTGCTCGGCACAGAACAGGAACTCTGTAAACACATGGTGAGTTAAAGAACAGAAGGATGGAAAGATAAGAAAACCCTAGGTGCTTATAGGGTGGGACTTGGGAAGTGGTACAGTAGCCTCTTTGTGACACCGAGCAACAAGGAGCTGAAAACGCCATAGGACTGAGAATGTGTGGCGGGAGTTTGTCCAGGAAAGTTCAGGACAAGCTGAACCAAAGCATCGTGTCAATGGGCAGCGTTTGTTGAATCAATGAATTTCCATGCAGAGTGACCCAGCCCGTAAACACTCTGAGTTCAGGGGAAGGGGAGGGTAGGTAGTGTGGACTGGAAGATCACTGGGATGTCATCTCCTTCACAGAACTCTCCAGCACAAAGCCCATGCGGGGTGGACACAGATGGGAGGTGTAAGCAGGCCATCCCGTTTAACTCCAGCCAGGAGTTGTGGGAATGGGGAGTGGGGTTAGGGTTGGAAATGAGGCAGGCCACGTCCATAAAGTCAACTCAGGGCCAAATCGGAGGGGGTCCAAGGCCATGCCAAGGAGTCTGGACTTCTTTATGTTAGGTAACAGGGAGCCACTGAATGTTCTTGAGCAGCAGCATGCCATAGAAGTAGCTCTGCTTCTGAAAGACTTCTGTGACAACAATGGGATATATAGGCTTGGAATTTCGGGGGGGGGTGACAGGGAGGCCTCGGCAATGGTCCAAGTAGAAGACAAGGAGTACCTGGAAACTAGGGTGCAGGAAATAAGGCAAGCAGGGTGAGGGGTGTGGAAGAGAAAGGGCAAGGAAGGGAGACACGGGAGAGGGCCCCACAGAAGCAGCCCCAGGGCCGGTGCCGACAGACTGGAGAGAGACACCAAGATGAAGAACCACGGCGGCCAGGGGCGCCCAAGCCCCACTCCTTTTGCTCTTAAGGAGTTGGGTCTGACTGGAAATTCACAGGCTCACAGCTGCTGGCTGGCCTCCCGACACCTCTGCTTCTTGGTGCACGTAGCTAGCGGTTAGAAAATACAGGTGGCCACATGTTCAGACGGCAAGGAGCAAGTGATGTGGCACCTTGTCCGGGGTCTTCAGCACGGAGCTCCACTCCCACCATGTCTAGGCCCCCAGGATGTTTTCTCCTGCAGCTGCCCTTCGTTAGTGGGAACACCAGCAGAAAACAAGAATCAAGGCACAGTTCCAATCTGGCGGCGACCCCTTCCATCCAAGGGCCGGGGATGCTTGACAAATGAGCCTCCAAGAAAAGCACAGTCTGCACAGAGCAACACGGTGATGAGCTCAGGACACTGGACATGGCAGCAGGACAGCTCCCCGGGCCGAGGTTCAGCTTCCTGGCCTCTGTGAAGACACAGCTAATGGGTTTCTTGATTTTGAATGGCCTCGCGTCCTTCTCCATCCTGGAGAGCTCCACTTTGTCCAGACAAACCTGTCCCCCCTCCCACAGACTCATGCACGTCGTGGCACGGAGCAAGTGAGCAGATCTGGAAACATGCTCCTGCATGGTACCTGGTTGGGGGCAGGTGCTGAGGGAGGTGGAGGGATGGTTTGTGTGGGGAGAGGAGGAAGACAGTGGGAGAGGGACGGGAGAGCACGCGCAGAGCACTGGAAACCTCTTCTGACCTGATTCTCAGTGGCCTGTTCTGTGAGCTCATGGGGAGACTATAGCGGGGTCTTTAAACCTCCAAGTACCTCCCACCCCCACCCCACATACTCTTGGTGCATCCTCAGTGTTCCAGCCACACATACCAACCCTGGCTAGACTCTGGACACCGAGCGCCGACATTATTCTGTCGTGGAAAACATTGAGGTCACCATAAAAACCAGCCTTGCACCATAAGGAAGAACACAGGGGTCATAACGAGCATCCCAAGCCTGCTGAGCAGTTAGCATGGCTGCTTCCCTGGGTGTTTCAAAGAAGGCTCAAGGGCTCTTGGGTCAGCGCATCAGCAGGACACCGAGGGGCTCATCTCAGTGGGGCACCTGGTCGGTCTCAGGACACAGGTGACGTCTTGATGGAGTTCCTCAAGACCACATGAGCTCACAAGTCAGAGGAGGGGACAAAGGGCGAGGACACTTTGTTCTTCTGTAAAAATAACAGAAAAGACCCCTAGGTTTAGTGGCCCCAACACAGGCAGCACAGGGGAGGGACTTACTTTGCTCATGGGTTTTTCTTAAGCTGAGAATTCACTACTACAAAAAGGAAGGACTCACAGTTCTCACAAAAGAAAGACAGAGGAGGTCTTAGAAAGGAGTCCAGAGTCTCTCTGTTCTCTAGTTCCTGATTTACGCATGCGCAGCGGTACACCTGCTTTCTCCCTCCCTCCCTCCTTCCTCCATCCATCCATCTCTCCCTCCCTCCCTCTCTCCCCCTATCTCCCTCTCTCAGCCTGTGCCCCACCATCCCTACACTGCTTGCACCCCTTGACCATTGCTGCTCCGGGTTGCAGGTGCCCCTGGAGGTTGGCGAGGGCAGCCCAGGTAGGGAGCTCAGACACCTAGACGCACACGCACACACACACACACACGCACACATCCTGGACCCCCATCCCCACCTATCTCTACGTCAGCCACTCGGCCACTCAGGTCCTTCCCAAATGGCTGCGATCATGGCAACCTTATCCACTCAGCAGCCCACAGATTCCTGCCGGGGGCATAAGGAGACAGGGTGCAGGGGGCCAAGCTGGAAACCCACGGCAGCACCTTGAGAGGCGCCGAGGGTCAGGAAAGTGGGGGTGGGTGCCCTGCGTCAGTCTCAGCCCAGCTCGCGGCCTCGGGATGAAAACTGGAAGTAGACAGAACTGTCCCCAGCACCTGCAGGGCCCCAGATCCAGCTGGGAGCAGGGAGGTCACCTCGGGGCAGCCAACCAGGGGTCAGTGGGCTTTTAACAGTAGTCGCTGGATTGTGTTCAAGTCACATCTCCCAGCAGCCCGGGGGGGAAATGCTGGACTAAGGTGCTGTTCTGTTTGTTTTAATTTAGGTGACATCCACTTAACATAAAATGAACCATTTTAAAGCGTACAACTCGGTAGCTTCACAGTGCTGGGCAGACACCAGCTCTATCTCACTCCAGAACATTCTCAGCACCCAGAGGGAACCCCGGCCCAGTGAGCAGTCAGTCCCTCCCCGCTTCCCCGGCCCCGGCCACCTACCGGTCGGTGCTCTACGGTCTATCCGCACGCACCTGTCCTGGACATCTCACACAGGGGCCGTCACACCACACGGGTCCTGTGTGTCTGATTTCTTTCTTGGGGCGTGTTTCCAGGCCCATCCATGAGCAGGATGTCGTCAGGGCTTCGTTCATGGGGGAAGAACACAGGCTCACTTTTTCTCACCCCATAGCGGCGGCTTTTGAAAAAGCACTCAGGCAAAGCAAGAAAGGACAGTGCCGGGTCACCCACAAGCGCCCTCACAACTTCATTTCCCCAGAGGAGCAGGAGGAGTGAGAGAACCTAGAGGACAGGGCTGGCGGGGGGGCGGGAGGCGGCGGCAAATCTGGCAGCAGGGAGGCTGGGAGGCAGCAGGGGCACGTCCCTGCTGCGCCGACCTTCACCGGCCCAGGACAGGTACGGACGTGCTGAAGAACAGATAGGGGCCGCCCGAGTCACCCTGGCCGGAAAACACCTGGGTATTGCTGAGCCGGAGAAGCCAGCAAACCTGCAGGCCAGGCCCTGGCCCGGGTCCCTGCCCGGGTTTTTGCAGGGCAAAGCCATAACCGCTCAGGGCTCCGCTTGCCTCTCACAAGAACGGGTGCGTTGGCAAGACCAGGGGTCCCAAATCTGGGGAGAATCCAGAGGGTCTGGGAACCTGAATGGGAAAGCAGTTCATTCCTTCCCACACTCCCCTCTTTGACAATTTCTCAATCGCGGACACCAGCCCCCAGCCAGCTGTCCCTGCCACAGACACACGGGCATGTCCATGGCACATGCCAGGTGGTGTATGCATCGCAAAATATCACCCGCCGTGGTCATCATTTCTGGATTTAGGTGCTTCTTAGACCCGCCACTACATCGAGTTAAGTAATTTGTTCAAAAGGAGCACCTTCAAAAGCCAAAAAGTAGAAACAACCAAAATGCCTATCAGGCAATGAATAGATAAAGTATGGTATCTGTGCAATGGAATATATTCAGACATAAGAATGAAGGTCTGACACCTGTCACCACATGGATGAACCTGGAAAACATTATGCTCAGTCACAAAAGACCACATTTTTATAAAATATTCGGGATAGGCGAGTCCGTGGAGAAAGACCGGAGGTTACCAGGACAGGAGGGGAATGGGGAGGACCCGCTCGACGGGTTCGGGCAGAGGTGGTGGACGTGGGCGGGGGGGGGTGCCTTGGTGGTGCGGCGAGGACACTAAATGCCACTGAGTTGGACACTTTAAAAGGGTTCATTTTGGGCGCCTGGGTGGCTCAGTCGGTTAAGCGACTGCCTTCGGCTCAGGTCATGATCTTGGAGTCCCGGGATCGAGTCCCGCATCGGGCTCCCTGCTCGGCAGGGAGTCTGCTTCTCCCTTTCCCACTCCCCGTTTGTGTTCCCTCTCTCGCTGTGTCTTTCTCTGTCAAATAAATAAATAAAATCTTTAAAAATAAAAATAAAAGGGTTCATTTTATGTTACAAGAACTTCTCTCCAACAAAAAAGCATATACAACGATGTCTCATTTCTTAAATATTTTGATAATTATATTTTAATACTATAACCCTAGGAAATCTCTTTTATGGATTTAAGACTATTTTGCTGAGAAGGGGTCCGCTGGCTCCCCCAGATGCCATAGGGCTCCTTGGTACAAAAGGGTTGGAGTCCCCTGGACTGGGGCTCTCCATGGCCCACTCTTCACCCTGTTTACACCTGGACAGGTAGAGCCCAGCCTCCCGCCCCTCCCAGGCCCACCCGGCACTGTGAGCCATTGGCAAAACCCCAAACGCACCCCTCATCACCACTTGGTCTCTCATTCCGTGTGAAGACTCTCCGATCTCCAGCAGTCATCTCTAAACATGCAGAGGTCCCAGGAAAGGAAATTCAGCAGCGTAACCGGGGTGAATCTGCAGACAGGTGAGACTGGGCCAGGTGACAGGTAGAGGACAGTGGAGCTGCAGGGGGCGCAAGCAGCAGAAGGTGAAAGAGGAGACAGGCAGAGGACCCAAGGGTGCAAGGACTGCCCTGCTGGGATTTCCAGGTGCGTCCAAGGCCAGCTTGCCTCCCTGAATGGGGAACATGGTGTCGCTCTGCACCTGGAGGTGCCTCCCACCACCCAGGATGGGTGCAGAGTGCCCTGAGCACCTCTCCCCAAGCCAACCCGGCAATGAGCGTACCTCCACCCCACTCCCGTCTGAAAGTGCAGCCCCCTCCACCACCGAATGCAGGTGCAGGTGCTGGCCGACCGTTCTTGACTCGAGCCTTCAATTCCCCCGTCTGCCCGTCTGCATCTGCAATCCTAGGGAGTATTACAGGCCGCCTCTCCACCCTGCAACATGCTAGGTGTTCATAAGCGATGATTGCATGCCGTGCTATTACAGATGGAGAGACTACCACTCAGAAAGGGAACCCAAGACCCACGCTCTCTCCTGCAGACTTCCCCCCTCCCACCCTGAGAACATCATCTCTGTCTCCAGAGTCCTCTCGACACTGAATCATTTATCGCCTGCATGGAATGCTGCTGGGCTTCTGCACGCCGGGCCTGTGCCCGTGGGCTGGAAATACAGCTGTAAACAGGAGCTCACGTTCTAGACAAAGAGAAATCCAACAAGGTAATCTCAGATTGCAGTGAGTGCCGCATGAGTCAGGACAGTCTACGCTCGCGCAGGCCCAAACAAAGCCTGAAAGCTCAGTGCTTTGTGGAAAGGTCATTTCTCACCTATGATCAGTGTGGTTCAGCAGCCCCACTTGGCAGCTCTCCTCCTGTCGGTGACTCCGGGCTCCAGGCTCCTTACGTCCTGGGCTCTTCCGTCTTACACAGGTGGTCACCTTGGTCACCGTGGAAGAGGAATAGGGGGTGTGGACGGTCCCACAAGAGGTTCTGTGGCAAGGTCTGGATGTGGCGTCTGTCACCTCTGTCCACAAACCACTGGCCCCAACCTAACTGCAAGGGAGGTTGAAAAACACAGTCTTCTTCGAAATCTAGGAAGACGCAAATGAAATGGAATTTGATGACCACAGGACATTGTCTCAACCGCAAAAGAGTAAAGGAAATAAACAGAATGATAGAACAGAAAGTGGCTGGGATGAGCAGCCCATTTTAGATGGACGGGCCAGGGAAGGTCACTGTAGGGCGTGACTTGAGGGAGCCAGGCAGGAGACAGCCTTCCAATCCCAGGGAACACACAGGCAAGTGCAAACAGTTGGTGCCCAAAAACAAGAGGCATGTTCAAGGGACAGAAAGGAGGTGGGCAGGAGCAGGCAAGGGAGAGGGGGAGACAAGAGGTTGGCCATGTAAGCCAGGTCAGGTGGGCAGCCCCAGTACATGTCAGAGTCACCTGAACCCTCTCCCAGGGACCCTGACCTAATTATTCTGGCCTGGAGCCAGGCCTCAATTCATTTTTCTCTTTAAGAAAATAACACAAATGCCCCAAAGTGCACAAATCATAAATGTGTGTTCAATGATTAGTCACAAAGTGGACCATCCATGCACACATCACTGAGATCAAAAAGTAGAATAACACAGACCCCCAGAAAGCCCCCTCCTTCCCCAGTGACTCCCCCTTCCTCCTCCCCAAAGATAATTACCTCCATGATCTTGCCTGTTCCTAAACTCTGTATGAACGGGATAATACAGTTGACATCCAATTTTGTGCCTGGGTCCTTTCACGCTACCTTATTTCTGTGAGGTTCATTGAGTATAGAGGTGCTGTTATGTATCCCCCTACATGAATTCACCAGTTTTATTTGGCCCTACTCCTGTTGAAAGACTTTTGGGTTGCAACCCGTTTGGAGCTATTAAAACGATGGTGCTGTGCTCACTCTCTAGAGCATGCGCCTTGGTGCACTGGTATGTGTACCTTCCTCAGCAGATGTCTAGGAGTGGGGCAGCAGGGCCCCGGGGCTGGCATATGCTCAGCTTCAGGAGATTGTGCTAAACAGCTTTCCAAAGTATGAATGTTCAGTGGTCCTCTATCTTTACCAGCCCTTGGGGTCACCAGTCTACTCATTTTAGTCATCCTACTGGGTTAGAGCAGTATTTCCGTTTGCATTTCTCTGACGACTAATAGGACACTTTGTGAAGTACTTGTTCAAGTCTCTTACCCGTTTTCCTGTGAGCCCCTTTGCAAGTCATATCTCCAGAAACATCTCCTGTCTTGTGCCTACCTTTCCACTCCCTTAATGGCGACTTTCGGTGAACAGGAGCCCTTCATTTTAATATAACCTCATTTGTCCATCTTTTCCTTTATGGTTAGTGCTCTTTGTATCGTGAAAATATTCCAGAGAGTCTTCTATATTATCTTCTAGAAGGTAGACTGGACCTCCATGTATGGTGTGAGGTAGGGGTCAAGCTTCCTGGTTTTTTTTTAGGTGGCTATCCAACTGACCCAGCACCATTGATAGCAAAGATCATCCATGCCACCTTCTTGAAAGGGCCACCTTTGCCTCATATCATATGTTGTTTACCCATATATGCTGGGTGTGTTTCTGGGTTCTCTACTCTGTTCATTGGTCTGTTTGTCTAACTTTCTATTCTATTTTTTTTTTAACCTCTCTTGGTGACTCTAACGTGTAGCCAGGGTTGAGAACCACTGATCTAGGACCTTGCAGTTTATGGTAATAGGTTTGAGTGTTAGTCTAAATGCAAGTATGTAGATGCCCAATAAAGGATTTTCAGAGGAAAAATAGATTAAAATTCGAGACGTGGGAAGAGCGATGCCAGAACCATGGGGAAAGGTCCGGTGGAGTGGGTGGGGAAACTGGGTAATGGGCCGGAAGCCAAGATGCTCCTATCAACCCATGCTGCTCTCTACTCCTTCTCTTCTCCCTTCTCCAGACTTCCAGATCCACCCAAACCAAAGTGCAAAGAAGCACCGACAAAGACCAGAAGGAAAGTTTCCTGCCTGGGTGACCAGCCATGCTTACGGAAATCGGATCCCACTTGCAACCAGTTTATTCTCAAGTTGCCATGGCACTTCCTGTAATTAATGGCTAGGTTTTAATTAAACATTGATTAGCCACTAATTAGTCTAATGATTAGTCCTGGGGAAGAGACAGGGCTGTCAGACCCCATAAAGGAGGCAGGGGGAGATAATGAAAGATTATGGCTTAGGTGGAAGTGCTCTTCCTCCCTCCCTCCAAGCCAAATGTTTTCTATGATTTTGGTCTATTATAAATGATGCTTTCAATGTGAATTTTTCTAATCGGTTTGAGTCTTACGAAGTCCCAGGCGACTAGTGCAAGGAAGATTGAATCTATTTGCCTTTTCATCAGATTTCAGCCTCTTAATGTAGCTAAAGAGCCTTTTCCCACTTAGAGAGGAATTAGTTTCTGTCTCCACAATGAAGTCATCCTGGGCTGAGGCCGTCCCCCTCCCGCGTCCTTTGTGGGGGCCCAGACCTTGCCAAGGACTTCTGAGATGTGAGTGTAGCAGGGCTTCTCCCCCAGAGCGGATTCTGCAAGCACCTGATGCCCCAGGTCACCCTTCCCTCATTCCCCGACCCTCAGTCCTCCACCAAAAAGAGAGGTTGGGTTGCTGCACATGGACACAGCTCAGCACGAACTGCATTTGAAATTACCCTGTAAGAAGTTAACTACGCGGTAAATCTTCGCAGGAGGAGACACAGTATGATGGTATTGGTTAATCATCCCCAGTGTACCTTTTGTAAGTTTGGGTTTATGCACAACAATACAAAACTCCCATAAAGCTCGGAAGAGAACAGAAGCATAAAACCTGAAATCCAGAGAGGGCTTCAGGCCGGGGGAAGACGCCCGCTCCTGAGAAGGCAGGTCCTGACGAGGAACACTTACCAGCCTTGAGAGTCTCAGCATTTGCCTGTGGGGGCTCCTGGCGCCACCAGAAACACCCCAGCCAGGGTCAGAGAAAGCCTAAGAAAGACTTGGAAACCGAAAGAAACACTCATGCCGCTTTTTTTTTTTTTAAGATTATTTATTTATTTATTTATTTATTTGACAGAGAGAGAGACAGCGAGAGAGGGAACACAAGCAGGGGGAGTGGGAGAGGGAGAAGCAGGCTTCCTGCGGAGCAGGGAGCCCGATGCGGGACTCGATCTCAGCACCCCGAGATCATGACCCGAGCCGAAGGCAGACACTTAACGACTGAGCCACCCAGGCACCCCTCATGCTGCCTTTTTTTTAAACTGTAGTAAAATACACATAACATAAAATAAGCATTTCAACCGTGTATGAGTGCACAGCTCAGCGGCATCAAGTACGTTCACGTTGTTGAACAACTGCCACCACCGTCCACCCACGTCCTCGCCATCCCAAAGCAAAACTCTGTGTCCATTAAACATGAACCCCCTCCCGCCTCCCCCAGCCCCTGGCACCCCCTCCATCCTACTTTCTGTCTCCATGAATCTGACGACTCTGGGGATCTTGTATCAGTGGAATCTTACAATATTTGTCCTTTTGTGTTGGATTACTTCACTCCACATGATAATCTCAAGGTCCATCCACGTTGTAGCAGGTGTCAGAATTCCCTTTCTTTTTCAAGGCTGAGTAATATTCTGTTGTGTGGCGGTTCCCACTATGTTTACGCATCCGTCGATGGACACATGGCTTCTTCACCTTTTGGCCGCTGTGGGGAATATTCGCACTTCTCCATCTAGCATGCAAATGTAGTTATCTGCGTCTTCAGGTGGAAGATCAGGTGAGACAGGACACTGCAAGCCCCCCGGTCTCTGCTTTACTCTCTTGAATCAACAAGGATACCCAAGACCTGTTTCGGCCCCGAGACACCATCCGCATTCTCACATCTCCGTTTATCGAGTTTTCTCGTTGTGTCCCAATAGCTTCTGCCACACGAGCGCATCGGACATGTTCTGCCCAGCCTTTGTCATCCTGCCGACACTTGCCGTGAGCCAGGGCAGGAGGCCTCTTCACTGGGAAGGGGGCCTGGAGCGGAGCCCAGAGGGACGGCCTGGAAGCCGGAAACGGGGGTTGGAGCCCCGCCCTGCCCTGATCCAAGCAAGTCCCCGGGCCTTTCTTTGCTCAACCGTAAATTGGGTGCCACCCCCTCTGGCTCTAGGGGAGCCACGTGTGGGGCCCTGGGCTGTGTGCCACGTGCGAGGCGTGGCATCCATGGATTTTCTGGCTTTCGACCCCGGGCTCCAGGAGCAGGAGTCAAGGGGAGCTCTCTCTGAGAGGAGGGGTGGGGCTCTGGCAGCAGAGGGCAGTACCCTGAGCTGTCACTGACGCCTCTTCCAGGCGCTTCTGTTGCCGTGGAACGCCGAGTGGCCACTGAGGGCAAATACGTCCTTGGCCAGCCCTCACAAAAGCCACTTTCATGATGGTGGGACATTAATCCCCACGATAGCTTTCTTGTGCTGACTTCAAAAGTTGGGAAATTTGGGGCACAGAGCTGTCACGTACTGTGCCCACGCTGAGCCCGGAGTCCCGTGGCAGAGACAGTGAGCTGGCCCAGAGCCAGGCATCCAGTGGGGCCTGCCCTTCCCGCCGCACCCCCACCGCGTGCCGGGGGGACCAGATGTCCAGTTCTGGCCAAAGGGAGAGGAATGGAAGAACATGCTCTCACTCCCAGACTGAGGTGGCCACGTCCCAATGGACTGTCCCTACGTTGCCTCCCCAGCCAGCTGAGTCCCTCCTGGGGAAGAGGTCAGCAGATATTGTGAGCCGAAATAAGCATGCCATGTGTTGCCTCAGTGGCGTTTGAGGACTGCCTGTCCGGTGGTCAGCAGGACTGAGACATCTCTGCACACAGCCAAGGCCACGCTCCAGGGGCGGCCTCCGGCCGGGCTAGGTGAAGATGAGGTGTCGGTTTCAGAGGGAGGCATCGGCCCTGATGGAGAACCCCACCATGGCGTGGGCCACAGTCATGCCTGCTCATCGTGGACAAGGCCAGCCCGCGATCTAGCCCCAAGCTGGGCTACTGGAGGGTGGTCCCGCTTAGCCTCCCATGGTGGGCTCAGCAAAGGTTGGGCCAGGATCTGGCAGTCCAGAGAGACAAAATGCAGCCTTTGGCCTTGGATGCTGATGAGTTCAAGAGGGACTAACCACCCAGGGGGTGAGGTGGGGTCCAGACATGCAGCCCACCGGAGGCTTGGGATTCCTGGGTGATTCCTCCGTTCGGTCTTAAAGGCGGGCCAGGTGCAGACACACGGAGTGGGCACGCCAGGCAGAGGGCACGGTGAGCAAAGATGCAGAGGCGCGAGGAGGCACACGAGGGGCCGGTACTATGCAGCATGGCAGACCAGGGGATGGCAGGCGACAGGGAGCTGCGGGCTGTGCTGGGCAGCCAGGACCACCAGGGGCTGGGTGTGAGCAGGAGAGGGCCCCCAGCAGGTTCCCACCCTAAATCTATCACCTTAGCAGCAGCAGGGAGCGTGGCTAGCGGCAGGGGGAAGAGGTGTACCCGATGGTCCTACTGGCCTTTGGAGTCCAGACAAGATGGAAAGCACCCCATGGTTAAGGGGTTGGCAGCAGGCAAAGGCCTGGCACCGGACGCCCAAAAGAAAGGAGGTTGGATCTAAGACTGGGCTTCAGAGTGTTGGTGCAGGAGCAGTATTTCCAGCCGAGGCATAGAAATGAGAGGACGTTCCAAATCCAGCTTCCTCTCAGAAGGAACCCCAGATGAGTCCAAGGACAGTCTACCATGACGGCAATATTTAGCAAGAACAAAAAAGAAGCAGCCATCATTACTGGAAGGGACACCTCTGAGACCACTAAGCACCCAGCCTGAACTCAGGCAGGGAAGGACCACTTCTAGCTGGAGGTGACAGAAGGCTTCCTGGAGGAGGTGACATTTGAGTGGGGTTCTGAAGGCTGTGTAGGATTTCCAAGAGTGGAAATATCCGGGCACATGCCCCACACAGAAATCCTGGGCCAAGGGACGAGGGACAGAGAAGCGCAAATAGTGGCCAGACACAGTGAAAGGGGACAGGACAGCCCCACCAGAAATGCACTCAGTCATTCAACAAAGCATGAATCGGCTGCCCAGGTCTGGGTTCAAGGCACTGAGACTACAAGCTGAACGGAGCCAGTGGGTAAGAAGGCTGAGCGTCTCCAGGGCAGGAGCGGACAGAAGGTGAAGCCAGATGCAGAAAGTCCTCCAGCGGACAGCTGCTGGGGACACCGGACGCCAGGTGAGCTGGGGTCAGACCGTGCCACGTGAATTATTTTTCCCATCCACCCGAAGCCCACTGGGGTCCTGTGATCCGTGTGTGGCCGACCGTTGCTCATCACCATCCTGCCTTTGGGGTGCAGCTCCGGCCAGAGGGGTGGGCTCTCCCACGGCTGGCAGGGCCGGCCCGTGCGCTGGTGTCCCCGGCGCATGGCTCCCCGCCTCCCGCTTCCCTCTGCATTCACTCGCAGAAATGCACGGATATCGATCACTGCCCAGGTCTCATCAGATTGGGGAAATCAATGGGGTTAGGTCACAGGGACAGGCAGCCTTCCTCCAACCCACACGGGCCCTGGCCAGTGTGTTCCTTGCTGACTTGCATTTTAAGGATAAAGAGGCAGCTGTCCCTTTTGCCAGAAGGCATTTAAGGATTTTAATCTCTTCACTGGGGGAGAAAAGGCAGGTCTCAGCCGATGCACAGTTCAACGCAGCTTCAAAATAAAGCGACCTCCTTCCGGGGCGAAGGTCACGGTTGGGACTCACTGCTGCCGGCCACTCGCTATGTAATGTGTCCAGCCAGCTCTGCAAACTGAAATGCTTGGGAGGTTCCTGATACACAGTGGGTGGTGACGAGGCCTGAAGGCGGAGCTGGGGACAGAAAGAGGGCCGGGTGGGCGGGGGAGGTGTCCAGCGCTGCCCAGCCCCAGCTGCTCCGCCCCCCGGCCCCACGCTCCAGTCTCCCCAGGCGCCACTTCAGTCCCTGGAGCCCCGGACACACAGGCACACATGCACCCCATTATCTTGCTGCACCGACTGAAATCTGTTAGCAGTGGGGAGAGGCAAAGGGCTTTCGTGCTTTTCTGCAAAGGACTCTTCCACCCGTGCTCCTGAGTTCCTCCCCCTGTACCAGAGCAACGTCTTGGAGACCAGACCCTCGGGATGTTCATTTACCCCGGGAGCAGTCAGCTCCCAGAGGTCCTCCTGGCAGGAAGGGTGAGGACGAAAGCTATTCCTCTCCAGCTCTCTGCTGCAGGACCCAGCTGCTCCCAGCCTGTTTGCTGCCCTCGAAGTCCACCTGGAGGGGAAGCAGGCAGCCCGTGGCGGAGCAGGTGGGGCCTCCCCAGGGGGGTGGTGTGGGGCCCAAGGGCCAGCCCACGCCCACAGGCTGCCTTCTCCCGGCCGGCCCCGGAGCCGTGCCCTCCCAGCCACCCCCACCCCCCAGGAATAAAACGGACACCCATGGAAACATTCCGTGGTGAGACAGCTGGGCGCCTGGAAATTGCTTCTGTCTGGGTGGCATCCAGAGAGCTGTTTCCGAGGATGCTGATGGGCCGGAGTGCCCAAAGAACACAGAAGGCTGACAGCCACACAGGTCAGAGAAGGGGTCCAGATTCCCACTGTGGTCAAGGAGGAAGCCCATGGACAGCCTCGAACCTCAAGAGAGCCAGGCCTTGCTCAGTCACTGGGCTTACCGCTGGGAACGACAGCAGCCCTTGGGGAGACACGGAGCACATCAGCAATAAAAGTCATAATGTCACCACAGGTGCCTCTGAGCGCTATGAAGAGAAAACCGAATGCTGTGGTAGGAGGTGACAGGCCGAGGGCGGAGACACATCAGCATCAGCTGAGACCTGAAGTTGGGAGGGCGTATCCCCCCCAGGGATCAGCAGAGCCCCAGGAGACTGGCCTGTGCACCTGCACACACGTGTGCACACACAGAGATTCATGCACACCCACATGGATGCGCACACAGATGTGCAGTCCATACACACCCACGTGGGTGCACACACACATGCGTGCACACACACAGACGTGCACGTGCATATACACAGAGGCGTACACACCCACGTGGGTGTGCGCACACGCAGACGTGCACGTGCATATACACAGAGGTGTACACACCCACGTGGGTGCACACACACACGCGCACGCACACACAGACGTGCACATGCATATACACAGAGAATCGTGCACACCCACGTGGGTGCGCACACACACGCACGCGCACACAGACATGCACGTGCATATACAGAGGCATACACACCCACATGGGTGCGCACACACACGCGGGCGCACACGCAGATGTGCATGTGCATATACACAGAGGCGTGCACACCCACACATACCCATGGGTGGGTGCACACACACATATACCCATGCACACACATAGATGTACACATGCACATACAAGTACATATGCACACGCATATATACACACATATATATAACAAAGACATGCATATACACATGGATGGACAGTTGTATCTGTGCACATATACATACGCATATGCACACGGGTGTGCACATACACATAGATGTGACATGCACATACATGTGTGTACACAAACATATAGAAATACACGTGCATATGTGTGTGCATGCACATGTGTATAGATATACACACGGATGTGCACATGCACATATGTAAATATGTATGCACGCATGTGTACATATATACACTACTCGTGTGCATTGATGTACATTTACATAGACACGTGTACATGCATATGCATGCACATGCATCTACATGCACCAACACATACATACATACACTGCACACAAACACGTACACACACTCTTGCAGGGGGACTTTTTACAGGGATTTGACTCCCCACCACGACTGTCGGAGCTAGGTAAGCTGTCTCTCTGAGGAGTGTGAGGTCCACAGGGCAGGTGGCAGGAAAGGGAGGGTGGCTGGCAGGTGAGAGGTGAAAGGGGGTGGAGAGTGCGAACCCCCCAGCATGAGCTGGAACCTGCAGGGACAGCCACTCTGGCCAATACCCCTCGCCCTTAGAAATGACCCACCCATTACCTGTTGGGGGGCTGAGACCTGTGTGCAGCTTGGAAATTTTCATGATTATAGGATGTCTAATTGAGGTCCCTACAAGTGTCTTCAGTGGGTGCCCTAGAAGGAGCGCCCAACCTGAGGGTTCCTGGTGGGCGACTCCCATGAGGGCTCCCAGAAAAGGCAGAGGGAGGGGCAGGAGAGTGGCAGGAGGGGACCTCAGCCTGGGGCCAGCCCTTTACACTTCCTGTCACCCGCTGGTCACGGGGGGCGGGAGAGGGGGTGGCTGCAAACCGACAGATCGGCGGGGCATCAGTAGCACCCTCTCCAGCAGGGACCCCCCTGGCAGGTCCTCTCTCCCTCCTCCTCCCCATCCTCCCACCTGATGGGCTTGAAAACCAGAGCATGGCAAAATTCTCTCCTTGTCCCGAGACCCAACACAACCCAGCTCTTCCTGGTCACACCTCCTGGGGGACCCACCCAGTGATGGCAACTATCGGCACCTTCCAGGCTGCCCAAAACCTTTGGGAAGGCGCCTTGGATCCTCACAAGTTTAGCGGTGCAAATAATAACAATAATTAAAAGGCAGCGGGTCCGGGCTGCATTGATTTCTTGTTTTATTTTGCTCTGAATGGAGCTCATCTTATGGCTACTATTTAAATGGGCAGGGCAGACAGGAATTACATCCTCTTTCCCCCTCCAAATAGATTCTGCCCTCCTCGGGTGACAAGAGCTTGGCAAGGGGCTTGGGTTACCGGCCCCGCTGTGACCGGGGACCGGCAGCCATGAGCAGCTTGCAGCTCTTCCGATCCATTACCGCTGCTCCCGGAGACCCTTCGTATGGATTTTTATGTTGTGTTGGCAGCTCCTCACACCTTAGTCACGCACGCATCAGACCCCAGCGCCGACAGAAACCAAGCCACCAGAACAATAAGGCCCGACAGGAGGGGATGTGCAGGGCATCTGTGCAGGCCGTGGCAGAAGACCGGGCAGCCCGGGGGTCCTGGCAGATGGGCGCAGGCTTGAGTCGCCGGGGGCAGACAGAAGGTTCCAGGAGACATCCTCCACCCAAGGCGGCCTCCTCAGGCTGCGCAGAGCTTGTTCATGGCTAATGAGCCCTAATTAACATGTTGATGGGGATGTGCGCTGTTTATATTTGGAAACTTTTTGCTGTGTTGGTTGTTGCTTTTGCTGGATTCATGGTGTTCAGGTTGGATCCTCTCCTCCTTCCTGGCCCCCTGTCCTCTCCTCCTCCCCAGCCCCCTGTCTTCTCCTCCTCCCTGGCCTCCTGTCCTCTGCTTCTCCCCAGGCCTCTGCCCTCAGCCAGCCCTCTGAGCCCAATCACTTGCTGGGGCCCTGTGCCCGCTGCATCCGCGGCTCTTCTCCAGACCATCATGGGTTCCAGGCTACGCATCCGGACTTCCAAGCCCATCCTGCTTCCCTCTAGGCAACTCGTTGATCCTGGCACCTGCCTCTGTGTTCACCACTCTTTGGCTAGGGCATCTGGAAAGGAGAGTCCTAAGAGACCATTTGGATGGGTGTCCCTGAAGGGAGCTGAGGGCTGAGGCACCAGAATCAAGTTAAAGACTGTGGCCTGGGGGCAAGTGGGTGGCTCAGTCGTTAGGCGTCTGCCTTCGGCTCAGGTCATGATCCCAGGGTCCTGGGATTGAGCCCCGCATCGGGCTCCCTGCTCCACGGGAAGCCTGCTTCTCCCTCTCCCACTCCTCCTGCTTGTATTCCCTCTCTCGCTGTCTCTCTCTCTCTAATAAATAA